GTGTACGATTGAAGGTCCTGAACAGGCGACTGCCCGAGTCACCAGGGTGGTAGGTGTTTAGCTGGGCGACCCCTCAAGAAAGTACTGAATATGGCCACCGTTGGATGGCTGTACCATAAAAGAATGCCCCTCTAGGCAATGGAAATTCACCAGTAATATGGTGAAAAAGGTAAGTAAAGTTATTTACTAAAATATTACGACGTAGTAACGGCCTAAATAGTCGTAATGGGCCAAAAAAAAGGTCCTAAAAGCGGTCCTAATAAGAAAGAGGTCCAAATAAGAAAGAGGAGCCCTACAAGGAATGAACAAAATTACACACTTGCCTTAATTAGGAAACAAAAATGTTTGTACTTACGCCTGGTCCGGTATTTTCAGAAAGAAAAGCAAAAACGTAGGAAAATATCCAGGACGGTGGTGGATGCGGCTATGGGAATGTTGTCAGAAATCAGTCCTAGAGAGATGGGGCTATTAGATATGAGAATAAGCAGAGATTCGGATCTTACCAAAACGTGCTCGATGAATCCGCCAAATTGCGAAGGACTTTAAGGCTCGAAATCGCCAAAAATACAAAAACCAAATAGCCTTAAAATGTCCACCAAAGGTATTTTTGAAGATTAATCCCGTATGAACTAACGGATCGAATAAACACAAGTCGATACTTCAAAATATCCTGCGAGCAACGTTTCACACCGAGATCTCGACGAACAATGATGGCCGAAGCTTTTCCGGTTTTTCTAGGGAAATTGTCACATATCTAATAAACCTGCAGCACTACCGGAACAGAAAAACTTTGAATTTTGAAGCGAAGATTAGGGTATTCCGCTATGCGGTTGGCAACACTGATTCAGTGGTGGGCAAAACCGCTATTTTTAAGTAGCAGTTAAAACAGTTACCGCTTTTTTTAAGTAGCAGCTATCAAATAGCTGCTTAAAAGAAGCAGTTTATCCGAAACGGTGCTCGTGGGAATGGACCACAGCCGCTGACAGCGGCACGCGTGTTTCTTGCGCATGTTTCATTTTAAAATGGCTATTTGGGTTCGCTATAGCGCTATAGTAGCGATTCGCTACTAGCGAATCGCTTCTGCTTGGCTTACAAACGTCTAGGGAGAGGTCACAGGGATCTTTACTAGCAAATAATCGCGATCTTTTGCAATGATTGGAAATTATAATGTTGTTAATAATGATTTTCTATGCTAGGATGATTAGGTTTAAAAAATTAAAAATTGGTTAGATATGAATAAATTTTAGTATTAAAAATCCGAGTTTAAAAATTAAATTTTTTTTTACTCGGCTGCAAATTAAAACTCATTTTTAAAGTGTATAACATATTATTAATTAGTCTCCAATGCTGTAACTTTACCTCCGTTAGTAAAATCCCGACATCACACAGCAGTGGCGCTGTCCAAGGCCGAGTCAGCAGCTTTTTGATATAGCGGATTCCGCTAAGCGGAATTCGAAACAGCGATATCGATCACTGTGCGCAGACAATACGTTAAATGCGATCACAAACGGCGGAGTTAGGTTATGTTGTTGGTAGCAGCAGGGTTGGGTCAGTAGAAAACCTTAGGTAATTTACCTTGGTAGAAAAGGGTAGAAAACTTGTTTTCGACTTGCGTCGAAAACCTATAGGGTTTTCTACCTACGTAAATTACCTTATTCGACCTTCTCCTTCCACTTCTCTATAATTGATAAAAATTTGCCCTCATGCCAAAAATTATGTTGGGGTCTCCCAACCAAACGTGGCCCTTTTTTTCCCACCATAATAATGTTAAAAAACTCCAAATAACTTCAAATTTATGGTAGGTGTCTGATTTTTCACAATATTTAACAAATCATAATAAACAACAAACTTGCATAACCTCACATTTTTTGATATTTGACAGTATTCTACTTTTTTACGTTTTCTACCGTCGAAAACGTCGAAAAAGGTTTTCTACATGTCGAAAACAAAAATGTAGGTAGATACCCAACCCTGGGTAGCAGCTTTTTTTAACGCCGCGTCTAGAGTCCCGTCAGACGGTTCTCTATTGCGCTCCCGTTAACAGAGTGACGTCATCAAATGACGCAATCTTAGGACGGGAAGCAGATCTTTTTTCCTTAACCAACGTCCCGAGTCCGCCCGCTTCGAAACCAACCCAAACCCAACAACCCAACCCAACCGACCCCGCCCCATTGGCCCCCCCCCGCCCCATTGAGTAAAAATTTTTCAACGAAGGAATATTCATTTAATTACATTTTATATTATATAACCAATGATATAACTAGCAAAATAATTATGAGGAAAGGTAAATAAATTAAAATATTAATGTAAAATTAAATATAAATGCTTTTAAGGCCACATTGTATTATTTCGGTATATAAATTCTTTAAAAAAAAATTAAAAAAAGTTGTAGAGGCACGAAGTATCGAACCACGTACCTCTCGCATGCAAAGCAGGCGCCCTTCCATCGAGCTACCGAGGTTATTGTAATAATCCTATCGTTCGAAAAATAATACCTATTTACAGTGTGTGACGTCACAAAGTTTGAACGGGAGCGCAATGGAGACCCGTCTGACGGGACTCTAGACATTATGTTTTTTTAAAACCGGGTAACAGTGATAGCTGCTTAGGGATGCGCATCGAATATTCGATGTTCGTCAAACATCGATTTTAATGAAGTGAACATCGATTTTTTAACATCGATCTTGTATTTTCGATGTTTTAATGACATCGATGTTAGACTTTGCGATGTTACTGTTGTCTAAATAACTGTTTCTACAGAACTTGGATAGGCAAAATTGGGATTTAACTTAACTTTTTTTGACTGATAATTTAGGTTTATTTTGTTTTTAAATTAAAAAAAGAGAATTTAAGTTTATTTTGTTTATTTTTTATGTGTATTTTTTTATAAGTTGAAAATAAATATATTTTATAAATTTTTTTCTTAGACTTGTGTTTTAGTTTGAAACATCGATTTTTTGGAAAAATCGATGTTTTCTACCCGATATATCGATGACATCGATATTCAACCTTCGATGTCAACATCGATGCCAACATCGATGTTTTTGTATTCGATGCGCATCCCTACCCAGATAACAAAATGATGTCACTGTGAAATCACAATGAGCGCATTTTCGATCACGCGTGAGACTCATGTGTATAACATATGCGTCCTCACATGTAGATCACAGTGAATTCACGCGTGAGAAATAAATATCACAAAGCAGTCATAGTTATATCATGCGTGATATTTTAAGATAATTTTTAGGTTCTTATTTATACAAAAAAATATAAAAATCAAGTAATTTTTTTATTTATATCACAAATTGACAGTTATTTTTCATCGAGAAAAGGTTTATTCCATGACTTATATTTCTTATTTGATTCTTCAATTTCAGATTCAGAATCTTCCAACCTATCTGATCTTGACTCAGAATCATCGTATTCTGAGGTAGCATCAAAGTCACATGACATTGCTTCAGAATCAGAATGTGCAGAATCTGACTTTGATAACAGAGTTGAATGCTCTTTTTTCTTATTAGATGTTGATTTTGACCAAGAATTCGTTTTTTTCATGCGATTCCGTTTTTTTGGGTTTATCTCATTCTTGTTTAAACTATTCTTAAATCTTTGTTTTGTAGCTCTAAACACTTCTAAAAGTTCGGTTTTGAATTTTTCTTTTGTTAAGGGACCAGGGTAAGAAGTAACTTCTACCGCAATATCTGCAAGATAAACAACATGGTATAATGAACAATATTTGACTATATCTTACGTACCATATAGAATATTTGCTGTGATTGTCGCAGCACATAACCTTAAAACCATCAACTCGTAATCCAGCGTTTTCATTAAATTATAATTATTCCACTTACCTGAATTTAGTACGTATTAAAAAACTCGTTTTCAAGGGTTCCTTTTGTTATTTTCAGAGATATTTTAATATGTACTGTAAATAGGCACCATAAAACCATCAAACAAATGCACACAGAATTCTGATAAAGATTGCGCGGCACGTGTTTGTTATCAGCGTTGCCAGGTCGCTTTCATGAAAAAAGCGGGAGATTCAAATAGAAAATGATGGTTTTTATTTTAAATACTCCGCCATGTATTTTTAATATTAAACTTTAACAAACAAAACAAAACATAAAAATATGCCATATAAACTTAATTAAACATTGTCAAAAATAAGAATCTTTGGTAACAAAAAATTAAAATATTTAACGGATTCTTTATCTGAATCATGGCGAATCATAAATTGTTTTATAAAATCTATTTCGCATTGTTTTATAAAATCTATTTTGCAAATAAAAATTAATTTTTTATTCCAATTAGCCTTTTGGTGTAAAGACATCCCTTAATTGCTTTGGTACCCAATCAATTACGTGGTTTTGTCTTTATGTTATTTATCAATTTTATTTATAAGGAGAACTGCAACAAACGGTAGATTTGCCGCTATAACGGGAGACCTGGCAAAGTGTCGATCATTGACAAGACTGTTTTGCGGACTTTGCGCTGATACAATTATGCGCGTGCGCCCCATGCGCACGTGAGTTTTGGTTTCAATGTTTTTAAATTTATTTCATGTCACGCATGAGGAAAATATGTGATCACCGCGATATCACGTGTGACATTTATTCTTAATATTTTTAAAGTTATTTTCATGTCGACATTAATCAATGCAATGCCTAACAATAGTTAGGCAATGTATTGACATGAAAATAACTTTATATAGGTAAAGAATAAATGGCACACGTGATATCACGGTGATCGCATATTTTCCTCATGCGTGAATATATAGAATAAATATCACACGTGATATCACGGTGAACGCATAATTTTCTCATGCGTGAAAATCATGTTGTGAATAAAACGTGAAAATCACGTTTGTTATCTGGCAGCTATATATAGCTGCTTCAGCAAAATAACTGTTAAAAAATAGCAGCTTACGCGATAGCAACCCACCTCTAATTCGTATTTTTTAAATAGTATTAAATACAATGTGTTAAATAGTATTAAATACAATGGCTCCAAGAAGAAGTGATATTTGGTTTCATTTTGATGTTCTAAAAGACGAGTGCAACGCCAAATGCTTGTATTGTAAACAAGTGTTATCCACAAAAAATGGTTCAATGGGTAACTTACATAGGCACATGAAGACAAAACACCCTACAACTAGCATTGCTAGAACTCTAGTTAAATCGACAGTTACTAATGATAAAAAAGGAAATGAATCCCTGGAAGAAATAAATGAAACAGAATCAAATGGCAAAGACAGCAATTTTACAAGTGTCAGTAATAGCAGTAGTGACAATAAGATTAACAGCTTTGAAGTCCCCAAACAAAGAAAGGAAAACACACAGTCTGATATAACAAGTTTTGTATATTGTAAAAAGCCCATATCAATAGCAAGAAGCAAACAAATTGATCATCAAATATTACGATGGATAGTAAAAGGTTTTCATGCATTCAGAATCGTAGAGGAGGTTGAATTTCAGAGTCTTTGTAAAATGCTATGTCCTAATTACAATGTGCCATCAAGAAAAACTATCAGCAACAATTTATTGCAACAGCTATATCAATCGAAGCGAGAGAAGATTGAAGAAGAATTAAATCAAGTTGATTATATTTGCATCACGACTAACAGTTGGACCTCTACAAATAATGAGAGCTTTACTGCAATAACTGCTCACTATATTAATGAAGAACAGTCACAATTAAAATTAAAGGCACACCTTTTGGATTGTTTTGCATTTGAGGAAAAATATACTGCACAAAATTTAGCCACACTTTTGGCTAACAAATTTAAAGAGTGGAAACTTGAACAAAAAATAGTGTGTGTGGTCAGTGATAATGCAGCTAATATTATTGCTGCTGTACGGGAAGGCGGGTGGAAATCGCGTGGTTGTTTTGCCCACTCAATAAATCTCTTGGTTCAACATGGCCTGAATAAAATAGATTCAATTTTGGAAAAACTAAAAGCAATTGTTGCGTTTTTTAAAAGGAGCTCTACAGCACTTGGAAAGTTAAAAAAAAACACAGCTTTATATGGGATTGCCTGAACTCAAAATTAAGCAGGATGTACGAACACGCTGGAACTCCACCCTTGACATGGTTAGTCGGCAGAGCTGCAACAAGTCAGTTTTAAAAAGACTTAAATCTTAAGTCTTAAGTCAATTCTAAAATCAAAATGATTTAAATCTTAAGTCAATTCTAAGATAAAGTTCAAATGATTTAAGTATTAAGTCTTTGAATTAAATCATTTTCTTTCAAGTCAAGTCATTTTCGCAAATTCTTAAATCAATATAAAGTGATTTAAGTCATCTTATGACTTAATTCCTTTAGTAAGTCGTTTTTATGACTTAAGTCTATATTTTTTATTTAAATCGTGATCTAAGAGTTAAGTCAATAAAATGACTTGAATCAAAAATTGTGATTTAAATCAAAATAATTACAATACAACGATTTTTTAAATGTTAATAATAATTTTATGGTATTAATGATACTGATATTATTAATCTATTGTAGATACAGATGATAATAAACCACCATGTTAAGAATTTAAAACGATTTATTTTCAGAACACTTACAAACAAAATAAAAACTTAAAACACATTTTTTGAGTATATATTAGACAATAAAAATAAAAACTTAAACCACCTTTTTTAGTAGAGTAGACATACAGGGAGGCTACTTTTTTATATACATAAATGGGTAACTTCTAAACGGTAATAGATTCAAACTCTGTTAAAATAGATAAAAGTTGAAGCATTTTTCTTAAAATCGCTGTATTTCAAATACTGATAACTTGTTGCTTTGTTAACTTTTGTTAGCTGGTTCAACATCCAACTAGAAAAAAAAAATTCCTCCCTTAAGGAAGTAATGATGGGAAGTTCCAAACTCTCGATTCACGACCGCTCAGATTGTTTTCACTTTGCACTAATAATCACAAATTAGACATAACTACGCACGAACATGACGAATGTTGGCAAACAAAATAACAAAATTATAAATCCCCACTTTTTTTAATTCATTTTAGACAGGACATTTTTTAATGTAGCCGTCAAACGGTTCCAAAAAGCTAACTTTACGCGGCGGTTTTTTTATCCTCTAGCGGTAAAAATTGTAGGTAGGAAATTAAAGGAGTTTTTGATCTGCTGCCGCGTGAACCCCTGGCAGTTCAAAAGAAAATGCCGCTGTTAAAAATTTATAAAAAATATATAAAAAATCTGACTTAAATATTTTCTAAAAAGACTTAAATCTTTTTCAAAAAGACTTAAATCTTTTTTTGACTTAAATCGTTTTTATCTGACTTAAATCGTATGTACTGATTTATAAATGACTTAAGTTTTTTCTATTTTGAAAAAAATATTTAAGTCACAAATCATTTTGAAAATTACTTAAATTTTAAGTCTTAAGTCAGTTTTAGAGAAATGACTTATTACCAAATGACTTAAGTCATTAAAACGATTTAAATCAAAAAAACGATTTAAGTTTTCTGAGAGCTTTCAGCTCTGTTAGTCGGGCATGTAAAATTAAAGATGCAATTATTTCAACTTTAGCATTAGAATGTCCTAATTTAAATAACTTAACTGGAAGTGAATGGTCAGTATTAGAAAATTTGGTAGAGGTTTTGCAGATATTCAAAGATATAACGGACGAAATTAGCGCTGAAAAAAATGTTACGTCTTCAAAAATATTTATTTTTGTGCGTGCAATTTATTATCATCTTAAAGGTTTGTCAAACAAACCAAATTTAGAAAATGAATTAAAAATAGTTGTGACAGATATGCTTAACCAGTTCTATACTCGCTTTGTTGACATTGAAAACAGCGATATTTTAGCAGAATCAACCATTCTAGATCCTCGATTCAAAAAATTTGGGTTTAAAGATGAGAGTAAATACGCAGCAGCCGTAGCTAATTTGCGTAAAAAACTGAGTACTATCCGTGTTAATAATGAAACAGCAAGCCCTCAAGAAAAGTCAGAGTCACAACGTCCAGTACCATCTTCAGCATTAAAAAAATCATTGTGGTCCCATTTCGACGAAAATGTTAGTAATCTGTTGCAAGAAAAAATAATAATAATAATTGAATGTGACCGATATTTAAATGAGCCTCTTATTAACAGGAATGAAGATCCTTTATCTTGGTGGATGACCCGTAAACATGTGTATCCAACATTGTTTAATTACATAAAAAAAATATTATGCATTCAAGCAACTTCAGTCCCATGCGAACGTATTTTTTCCAAAGCAGGACTAGTTTTAACTCAAAAACGTTCAACATTAAAAAGTTCAAGAGTCAGTCAAATTTTATTTTTAAGCACTAACTTATAAATTTAAAATGTTTGTTATTTTTAATCTGTTCTTTTATATATATATTTTTTTAATTCAGAGTTTATATGAGTTTTTATAAAGAATGTTATTAAATAATTTTTGACCTGTTTTGTAAACAGAGAAAACTGTTTATTTGTTTTGTATTTGTTGTTATTAAAAACTTGTTACAGTTAATAAAGTTTTTTATCCCACATATTTTTTTTAGTAAACAAATGTTGAAATTTTGTAAATACAAAAAAAATTATCTCTCCCCCCAGAAATAATAAATAAATGATAATAAATAGTCCAATAAATATAATGTCCCTAATTTGTTTAGAGTAGGTACCTTTTAGGTGTATGTAACATAAACCATTTTAAAATAATACATAAATTAAATTTATTCCATCACCAATCCTAAAAAGAGCGAATCCATTCAAAAATCTGTAATTTTTTTAAATATCCGCAGTTCTGCAAGAAAATCCGCATTTACAAGATTCTTAGAATCTGATTGTGTTGTTTTTTACGCAAATTAATAATAACTCGTTAGTGTCCCAAAATAGGCAACCAAGTGTACGTCTTTAATATCTGAAATGCATAGAAACATATGTATGGGAACAAAATAGGCCACGTAAATCCGATTATAAATCAGTGAACTAAACGAACTAGTCTTTTGTACTATTCACTTTAATGAACGAGATCGAAAGATCGAAATCAGCAAAGTGAACTAAACTTCCCACCTCTAGGCAGTGCCACAGTGGCACCTGCTACTTTAAATCATAGAAAAAGGATATAAGAAGTGCGCCCTCTGTGTTAAACGAGGGAAACACGACCTTAGTTGATGGACCGGACTAAGCTCATATTGATTTTGACATATCAGGGCCGGCTTTTAAATTTTTATTTTAATAATTTTTAATTTAAAAAAACAAAATAGCGAAAAAATTGTTTATTTACAATAAAGACGCTAATGCAATAAAAAACTTTTTAAAAAAAGGTACAAGTAGAAATTAAAAACAAGTCATGTTATAACAAAAAATAGTAGAAACAGTAATTTCAAAATTATTAATCCGTTTTAACTAAGTATAAGTATATACCAGGCGCGGATAAATACTTAATTAATTGTAATTAAGTATTTATCAGCGACTGGTATATCCTTATTCAACAAATATTTAAGTTTTTTAAGAATTTGATAAGGTTAAAAATGTTCATGATAAGTTCAAATATAAATCCTATAATAATTATTATAAAGTGTTACTAACATTTAATTTTAAAATATATTTATACTATTTTATGCAAAAATACGATTATTAAGATATTTTCTGAGTAAAACTGTTAATTACAAACTGTATACAAAGCAACATTTTAGAAGGCAATTATTTTCTTTTTATAAATTTGAATGTTGTACACTCTGTTTTAAATACTGATATTACTACATAAAGGGTGTCCCATTAAGACCGCCTATTTTAAAATTTAAAAAAAATGCCGTGTTTATTTAAAAAGTTAAGATATTTTTATTGCAATAAAGAGGGAAGACATGGAGGTTAAATATGGAACACAATATCCGATAAATGGCCGCCTCGTGACTGACGGCACACGTTGATTCTTTTGACAAAATTTTCGATTAAATTTTGGCATAGTCCCGATCAATTTCATCAATGACCCGTCGAATCTCATGTTTTAGTTTAGAAACTGTTCTTGGGTTATTATCATAAACCTTTTCCTTCAAAAAAACCTAAAAAAAGAAATCTAACGGCGTCAAATCGCATGATCGGCCTGGCCACATCACATCCTCGCGGCGCGAGATAACTCTGCCTTCAAATTTTGTCCTCAATAATTCCATGGTTTAGTTGCTGTGCATGGTCTGCTGTCTTTAAATATTGTTTTAACCGAATCTTGTACGCATGAAAATGCAGGTCTTTGGTCAAAATTCGCTGTAAACTGCTTCGAGATAGTCTCAATTGCTGGGAACGGTGGCGAATCGAGGTGGAAGAATTATGTTCAACACTTTCACTAACTGCTGCAATATTTTCAGCAGACCGAGCTGCACGAACATGGATATGTCTCTTTTTGGTTTGAATTGACCCAATTGTTTCAAATTGCAAGATTATAATCGGACCACAGTACGGCGAGAAGGTGCGTTATGGTGACCAAAAAATCCACGATATCCTCAAACCGTTTCCGAAAAATTCTCACCATTTCGATAGTGAATTTTTACAATTTCTATGCGTTGTGCGTCCGTGTAAATCTCCATGACTTAACCTCAATGTTCACACATGACCACTGTCCAACAACAACGCTGTACGATTGACACAAAAAAAATGACACTAAATTTAAAATAGGCGGTCTTAATGGGACACCCTTTACAATTAGGTATAATTACTGTCCATTACCAACGTAACATCTATCATGTCATAAAAAATAGGTATCTTACAAAAAAAGAGTTTAAAATCAAATTTAAGAATAAAAAATACTAACCCTTAAAAATTTGATAATAAAAATTTAAACAAAAAAGCCAATATTCTTAATTAAATAATATTATATGCATTATACATTTTTTATGTAAAAGTAATATTTACAAAAATATAATAACAAAATAAACCATAATTGTTTAATGTTAAGATTATTTAATATAATGACACTAATATTATTTCCTTACAAAAATATCTTTTAACTTTTAAGATATTAAAAAATAATGCAGCACAAAAATTCAATTTTATTTTGCCACTTTATCAAAGAAAATTCTATGTG